CCCTGCAGATGCTTATTCAGTTTAAGCACAGATAACAAAGTGTGTAGTTGTTTTACCTTGTCTGCTAGTGGTAAGCCCATGTGACATTTTACAAAAATGGATAATTTAAAGAGGAAATTGGCCAAAATTGGCCGTTTCAAGATGAAAGTACAGCAAATAAATGACACATGGTAATGCTAAAAAGTCAAAGTTGAACATAAATGGAGTTACAGAAGAAAAAGCTGATTGTGAGAATGCTAACAATGCCACCATTTGATAGACTCTAGATAAGCAGCTAGAGGACTTTGTGAAGGTGAACTTAACATAAATGGGGAAAATTGTTGTGACAAAAAGCATGAAGATGGCCCAGAGAAAGTGTCACCAGCAAAAAAACAAAAAACAAAACAAATCTTCATATTAAAGGAACTCTTGGAGCTATTTTACAAAATTCAAAGCACAAAGGATATAATGTTGGAAGTGGATCCAAACTTAGAGAGGAGTATGACAATTAGCTAAGGCATAGAAAAGATGCTTGCTCGATCGTAAATTATACCATGAGAAGATGACAAGCACAAGGGTTGTCCAAACTATTCCTGGTAAGTTTTTTTTTTTTTTTTTTTTTTTTTTTACAAAGAAATAGAACATTCTGATATCCAATATTTCCAGTGTTTTAAATTACATTATGCTGAATAGATACTAGTTTTAATATTTTTTTCCCACTTATAGCTGATAGTAAGACAGATTTTAACATTTTGACAATTTGAAAAGTCCTGGAACAAATCTAACTTTCCCCCATTGATTGTTAAGATCACTTTGAACGGTTTCAGCTTGCACAAGTCATTTTTAGATCTCACATTGTGTGCAATTCCAAGACTGTAGTTCAAATGAAGTAAGAGACCGTTCTCTTCCCTCTACTCTCAAACATGATCAATTCATGCATCTGATGCATCTGGGCATAAGGCTAAGCAGGATCTGACTATTTTTGATCCTGTACTCACCATTTTTGTTCAAACACCCACTTATTGGTGTCTCTCTGCAAACTGGTTAAACCTGGAACTGGGCCTTGAACCACTGAAAACCATCAAGTTACTCCCTTACTGAAAACTCTTCAATGGCTTCCAATTACATTTGGAACAAATTTTTATCCTGGCTCTGAAGTTCTGCATGTATCTCCCTCCCAAGTGTCCATCCTCATGCCATGCCATCCCCTGCCAGCCCTCTCCCACCCTAACCCACCCCCAAGGCACCTTTTAGGTCCACAAAGGCGTGGGCCTCCCATTGTGGCTCCTGCAGCTGCTGAAAGTTCTTTCCTATCATTACCCTCCTTAATCCTACTCATCCTTTAGGTCTCTGACTTTAGGCCTTTATAGGTTAGGGCCCCTTTCTGTTCCCTCACAAAAGAGCCTTTATATATATACTATGCCTTTATAGCTCTTATGACCCAGTGTCTGATAAATGATTCAAGAGTTCTCCCTCCTGCAGGGCCGCATTAAAATGTCTTGAATCCTAAGCACTTTTGCCTTCTTGAGGCACTTCTTCATAAAAATAAATAAATAAATAAATAAATAAATAAATAAAAATTAACTAACAGAAATAGAAAAAAAATCAAAACAGGTTTTTTTGACCCTAAAGGGCCACTGTTTTCTTGACTTTACAAGAGGTTCAAACATTGTCGGCTCCCCCACAAATAGTCGAGGGGCCTAGGCACCGCCCCCACTGTGCACGCAAATTGGCAGCCCAGCCCCCAGGCCTGGGAGCACCCGCCCAGTCGAGGTGGAGTCGCGGTCCTCAGACACGTGAGTGGACAGGCGGTCTGGGCCCACGATGGGCGTCGGTGCTGCCCCGGCCTGGACGCCAAAACCTGCCTGAGGGTGACTCAAACTCGGCCTAAGCCCACCCTGCGAGGCGCTCTTCCCCCGCGTGACCTCGGCGCCGTCCTCCCGCTGAGGCCCTCAGCCCTCCTCCGCCTAGAGGCAGGGAAGAGTGAGGGTGTTCCCACTTCCTTGGGAAGGCAGAGGCCCCATTACCTGGTCCTCTCGGCTCTCGAAGCTTGCCTGCGCCACGCCGGGTGAGGAGGGCGGCGACTGCGCAGTGCTGCTAGCTGCGCGCGCAGCCTCAGGGGCCGCCTCAGGGTCTACCTCAGGACCACAGTCTCCCCAGTCCTTGGGGTCCAGGCAAATGGCTCTACTTTGGCCCTGAGGTAGAGTTTTGGATCTCTGTTGAGAATGCTATGCTAAACTTGATACTTCCTTGTTAGCTAACTTCTACCCTCAGTTAAATATTCCAGCAACGCAACCCCCTCCACATGCCAGTGGCACCCCCGCTGTGTCCTTAGCTTTAACCTTTCTCTTTCACATCATTCATTCACTTAGTCAGTCACTCTCTTATCCAATAAACACTTGTTGAGGGCAAACTACGTGTCAGGCACTGTGCTAGGCTTGCGGTTCAGTGGACATACTATGGTCCCTGCCCTGATGGAGTTTAGTCTACTCTTAAGAAGCTCTTTCAAGTCTTCAAACCTCTACATTCCAAGAGGGTCTGCCCCTCTCTACTCATGCTCATTCTCATTTGCTTGCTGTTGATCCTTACAGTACCTTTGACAAAATCCAGTGGAGATAGGAGTGTCCTGGTAGTTTGCTGTATCAATCTCAAACGTCTATTTCCCCTTGTAGACTAAGCAATTTGAAATCAGGAACCATGTTTTATGTGTCTTTGCTCAGGGCCCATGCTACCCTTCTTTGTATTGTCACTATTTTAGTATATGTGCTGCCCAAGCGAGCAGTAGAAACCGTATCTTAATCTTCTTCTTACCTCTGGTACTTTAAAAATGCCTAGCGCATAGTAGGTCCTCAATAACTAGTGAATGAATAAACCAGAAGGGCACTTTAGAGAGAGTACCCTGATGGCAATCTGGAAAGGGAGAGATTGGAGACAGGTTTTGTTGTGTTGTTTTTAAATGAAACTATTGCACAATGTAGGTGAGCAATAATAAGGTCCTGAACTATGATGATAATGGAAAGAAAAAGACATATTTAAGTTATTTATGAAGCAGAATTAACAGGACATGATGACTGCTAACATGTGGACATGGTAGCCAGCCTCCAGGATGGACCCCTGCAATTCTTGTGTTCCACTTTTGTGTAGTCCTTACCCATAGTGCATCAGAGTTGTTCTGTGGGACTGACAGAATGTGGCATAAGTTATTATATTTTACTTCTGAGACTAGATTATAAAATACATTGTGACTTTCACCCTGCTTTTTTGGATCACTCGCTTTGAAGAAGTAACACTATATTTTGAGGACATTCCAACAACCCCATGGAGAGGTCCATATGGAAAGGAATTGAGACTTACTGCCAATAGCCACTATCAACTTACCAGGCATGGAATTAAGCCATCCTGGAAGTGGATCATCCAGCCCTAGTCAAACATTCATGTGACTGTAGCCCCATCCAATATCAGGACTACAGTTCTTTTTTTTTTTCTTAGATTTTATTTACTTATTTGTCAGTGAGAGAGACAGAGATAGAGAGCACACAAGCAGGGAAAGTGGCAGGCAGAGGGAGAAGCAGGCTCCCTGCTGATTGAGAAGTTCCAGGCAGGACTGGATCCCAGTCCCCCAGGATCGTGACCTGAGCTGAAGGCAGATGCTTAACCAACGGAACCACCCAGGCATCCCAGGCCTATAATCTCTTGAGAGATTGGGAGCTAGACAACTCAGCTAAGTTATTGTTGAATTCCTGACACAGGGAAACTGTGAGAGATAATAGATGTTTATTGTTTTAAGCCACTAAATTTTGATGTTAATTTGTTACATTTGTTATTTAGCCTAGATAACCAAAGATTATCTAGGGGATGAAAGAGGAGAAAGAAAAGACTACCTGCAAAGCTAGGTAGTACTTTGGAGTACTAAGTACTGGAAGAAGGAACAGGGAGGGATTGGGATGAGATAGTGATTATTTTCAGGCTCGTGTTTGTCTTGTCTGTAGGATTCCCAAGCGGATATATCCATATTAGTCTTTGTCCCTTGCTCTCAAAGGCCTACTCATCCTTGAACACTTAGTTCAGATGTCACTTCTGTGAAACCTTCCTGATTCGCTCAGGCAAAACCTAAATCTTCTGAGCATTTATTTCACGTTATTATAGCAAACATAAATCGCTTTGCATTGCAATTATCTATTTGCAGTTATTTGTTAAATGCTTGCTAAAATAATACTTTTGAGAAATTTGGTGTGTGTACCCATTACACACATATTTTCCCTATTAGTACAGATAACAGGCACTCGAGCTTTTGGAACCCACTGAGCAAACCTGCCACTGGAAAACCTGGACCCACGCCTCCAGCCTGGTTCCGAAGCAGAACTCCCACCTATACCTAGGCTTAACTCCTCCTGTACCTGGGTTGGGCTTCTCCGCCCCTTAGCTCCGCCTCCACCCAACCCCGATTGGCTGGAGGAGGAAATCGGCCCGACCATTAGTCCTTTCTTGAAGGGGCGGAGCCGGGTTGCCGGTTCTTGTCTGGCCGACGCAGGCCGAACCGGACCGAGGAGATCCGAGTTGGGCCGAGGCCGGCAGAGCCGCGGCTCTGAGCGCAGGTGGCAGGACGCGCCCCACCCAGCGGCCAGGCGGAGCCAAAGATGCTGGCTTCTGCCACGCTGCGCCTCCTGGGCTCCCTGCCACCTCCGGCCTCGCCCTTCCCGCTGCTGCTGCTGGCGGTGCTGAGCGGCCCAGTATCCGGCCGCGTCCCCCGCTCGGTGCCCAGGACCTCGCTTCCTATCTCCGGTAAGGCGTGGGCGCCCCCGCCCTCAGCTCTTCGCACCGCGCCCAGACCCCGCCTGCAGGTGCCCGCACCCACCTGCTCTCCCTACGGACCGGGGCAGGCGCAGTGGGGCCCCGCGCCGCCCACGCCCCGCCAGGACTAGGGCGGGACCCCCACGCGTTGCTGCCCCACCGCATCGCTCCTCCGCTTAGCGCTTCGGCTCCCAAGACACGCCCCGGCGGCCCTTTACTCGCAGAACCGAGAGAGGGTTAAGCCCTTCTCGCCAGGCAGACGCGGACGCTGAGCCCCGGGCAGGGGATGGGGAGTTCCTGAGGTCCTCCATTTGCGTTCCCTCTCCCTTATTCTGTCTTCCCAAACGTACATCGATGTCCCTCACGCCAGCTTGACGCCTGTTCTTCTGCCAAACTCATTGGTCTGTCATTCAACTAAAGCCGCCCATCCTTCTCCAGCTCAGCATTTCCATATGCTCACTTCTCAAATCCATTCCCTTATCATCGTTTATATCTGCTTGCAAGCTTTTTGCCCTGCTGGTAGCCCTCTTCTCCCTAACCCACTTCCCAGGCCTCTCACAGCTCTGACACAACTCCCATTCTCTGGACTATGATCCATCGTAACCCTCTCAACTCCTCAGCATTGCCTGCTCTTTACTCGTTCCCTACACTGAATGTTGGGAAACCGTTCAGTGAGTTGATTTAAAATTCTGTTTAAATGATTTCTAAAATCTTCAGAAGGAGAAAACAAAGGAAGGAGATGAGGAAGAAGGCAGAGGATGCCACAAGGTTAAAAATCGTCATTGGAGTGATTCACACTTTAATGGCTTTCTGCTGAGGTGGGCGTGAGCATGGCCGCTGACCTTGTTTTCTTCTCCGTGGACAATGAGTGTTAGCTTCCTGTGCAGACAGAGCTAGTGAAGCTGAAAGGACAACCTACTGGCAAAACCTCAGAAGTGGGCAATAGTAGTGTAGAATCTGAACTTCAGACTAGTGACATTTAGGGTTGCTATGAATCCAGAAGACAAACTTGTGGTCAGAGACTGGGGATTTGTCTGTGCTTGAGCAATAGCCACAAGATAGAATTGAGGTTGCCTGGCTGGGTTGATAACCAGAAATTCAGAGAAGTCTAGATAGCAGAGTGAAACGGAGCTGGGGATATGCAGGGAATTTGGGTGTTCCAGGACTTATAATGAGCATGAGAGTATAGGCAGGTACAGCATAGACCTGAATTTGGGTGTGGGAAGATGGTGTGGGTGGGGCCCCATGCATCAGCACAACTAGGAATGAATGGCTTGGAGCCATTCTGTCTTGAGGGTGGCTGAGAGGGTGAAGCACGTAGAGCTGTGTTGGTGTAGGGATAGGGGCCCCAGAGTGAGCTAAGAAGGTAAATTCATGCTGACTTAATTGTCATCATCTTTAAATAGAGTTTTGAATGATGATACGAAGTTTAGGTTTGGCCCAAATGGAGCACATACCTAGGTAAGAAAGAAAGGAGCCATTTTGAAACATGTAGTACATGTCAGTTGCTTCCACATATGTTATCTCACTTAATTCTGTCAACAAGCCTGGTTGTTGGTGTTTACAGGTGAGGAAAGTGATGCTCAGGGCAAGTAACTTACTCAAGATCATACAGCTGGTAAGTGACAGAGCCACATTAAACACAGGCTGGTCCATTTCCAAAGCACACACTCTTGTCTACCCTTTACCTCTTTGGGTGGAAATGGGGTGGGGTTGGGAAGGACAAGAGCAGTGGGGGAGACAGGGGATAGTCTCCTAAAGTGTTGGTGAAAAGAGTGAATTGTTTCCCTTCTAAGTAAAAAGAAGTTACTAATAAGTAATAATTAAAAAAAAAAAGAAATTGAGAGGGAAGTACTTACACCTTCTATAGGAATTTTCAAATTATGTATCATATTGCTGTGAATAGAAATTAGACTTAATATTTATGCTGTTATTTTAATAAAGCATTCCATTTTTAGAGAAAAAGCATTTTTGACTGCATTGTGTGCTAAATATTCTGGCCTCCTCAGTCCTCTCTCTTTGGGGAGGTTTGATGGTTGGCCTGTAAAAGCTCTGTTTTTCACCCTCCTGGCTGCTAAATAAATGGTACTTGGAAGAAAACAGAAATTGAGCTCTTGAGCTTTGCCCTTGTGGACCCAACCCTTATGAAGCAATGGCTGATATCACTCTCCCCTCTCACCCTCTCTTCCTGCCAGAGGCTGACTCCTATCTCACCCGGTTCACTGTCCCTCAGACATATAATTACTCTGTCCTCCTTGTGGATCCTGCTTCCCATACACTTTATGTCGGCGCCCGGGACACCATCTTCGCTTTATCCCTGCCCTTCTCAGGGGAGAGACCCCGCAGGGTGAGAGATGAAAGTGGGGATGACCCCAGAGCATGTGATTAGATACATAGTTTTTTGGGATTGATGAGGGAGTATTCATAATAACCAAATATGTAACAGTGGTGATGGTAGGAGGGGGAGTGTTGGTGAAATTGAACATAGGAAGAATATTCATTATCTTGGCTAAAGGTGACGGCGGGGGTGGGGTGACTGAGGAGGGAGGTTCATGACAAGGGAGGAGGCCACAGTGACCAGGTTTCAAGTCACTGTGGGCAGAGGAATCATTAGAATCACCTTTCTTTAGGGCAATAGCTTTTAAACTTTTTTGACCACCCCTTAGTAAGAAATATTTGATGCATTTGACCCAGGACAGGAAGTGTATATTGAAAGAACACTTTCTTGAAATAATATCTACTCCCCTATATGTGATATATTCTGATATATCCTATTTCATTAAAAATAAAAGCAGTTGATTTCATTACTCATTAATGGGTGGAGATTCCAGTTTAAAAAACAATGCTCTGATCAGTGGTGGTGGTGGTCGGGGTTGGGATGGGGGTGGGGGGCTCTGAAGTTCTCAAATTGATGGAGGTTGTGGAACTATTTGACCTACCCTGACTTGGGAGGAATTTGGGGAGAATCTGGAAGAAACAATTACTTCTCCTTTCTCAGATTGACTGGATGGTGCCTGAAGCCCACAGACAGAACTGCAGGAAAAAAGGCAAGAAGGAGGTAGGTGTGAATCTCGTCCTTGTCCTGAGTGTCAGTTGAGATCTAGTTCCAGCCTCTGACTCTTGTGTCTGTCCCCTGCAGTGCTCCCATCTCTAGGGACTCTAACGCCATGTCATCACCAGTCATCTCTGATCTCAGAGCTGCCTCTAACTGTCCCAGAGCTGCCTCTAACTGTCCTACCCTACCTTTCATTGTACCTGCTGCTTCTAATTCTCTCTAATCATCTCTGACCCCCAGGACGAATGTCACAATTTTGTCCAGATTCTCGCCATTGCCAATGCCTCTCACCTCCTCACTTGTGGCACCTTCGCTTTTGATCCGAAGTGCGGGGTTATTGTGAGTGACGGGTGGGAGGATGGGAAGGGTCTTCTGTGAGTGACCATGAGGGGAGGCATGCTTAAGGCAACACTTGTGCATGATACACATTGGGGTGAGGGATGTTCTCACAGGGTGGAGCCTTTGTCTGCCATGGGAGGGGGAGGAGGTTGTCTGTAGAAGGTAAGGTATACAGAGTGTAGAGAGAGGAGAGACGGTGAAGGGAATTAGGGATGCTAACTAATCCCCGGAGAGGATAAATCTAGGAGAGACTTCAGAGGCCAGTAACTCATATTTCCTTTGCTCTGTGTACACTTTGTCCAGGCAGCCTAGGTCCATTTCTTAATCAGCACAATCCATGCCTGCTTCTTTGTCCCAGGGCATGTGACTCTCTCTCACTCCCTTCTCCCACTTCCACTGCCAACTTCATTCTGTGTGGGCTGTGACCCTCTGCTCTCATGGCTTCTGAGGTCACTGCCCACTAATACAGTACCCGGATCTTGCCTTCAAAGTGGGCACTCTGTCAGTCACATTTTCTTCTGGGTCCTGTTCATTGCTGCTGGAGCCCTGGGCATCTCTACTCTCATGCTCAGGCAGGCTTGAGACATGTGTACCACTGATCACCTCTAGGTTAGTCATGGCTTCTGGAGGTAAGGGGACTGGTGGCATCTCAGGAAGGTCTTGATGTTTTTGAACTCTCAGCTTTTCCCATCAGTTATCCAGCAGTCAGTCACTGGTCCTCTGCCAGCACACGCTTGTGACAGGAACCTAGGATGAGTCAAAAGCCTCCCATGTTCTTTGTATTCAGTGGCTTTCCTTTCTGCTCCAAGGAGCAATAGGAGGAGTGCAATGACTCCCTTTCCCGGCCCTGATCCTTAACTGTAGATTCTGACTTACCCCTTCTGGAAACTGGAGCACTCCTTGCCACCTGGATCTCATCAGTGCCTTTGTCCAAACCCCTCCTTATTGAAGATGATCCTCGTATCTCTGGCTTCGAATGCTGTAATTTATATGTTTGATTGCCCCAGTCAGTCCATCTGGGCTGCCCCCGAGGTTAGCTGGTCTTTGGTTGCGTCCTTTTCGTAATGTGGATGAAAGACTCTTCACTGGGGTGTGGATAGCTTCCTCATCTTGGGAAGGTTTCCTGTTCGGGGTGGTATTGAAAATCTCTATATCCCATCAGGTGATGTTGAGGGAATGGTTTCCTTACAGTTCTCACGAAGCTTGGGAAGTAGTGGTAGAACTACCCTTGCCACATAGGTCTTCTTCTGGCTTGCACACACTTGGGGACCCTGTGGGTATGAATACCGGCGCCATGGCTCAGAGACATCATGATCACTTTCAGTTAGTCTCCTAGAGCTTTCTCTTCTTCCTTGCTCCCTGAGGGGACCCTAATGGTTGTTAGATTGTATAGACATAAAATGTTTTCTGTACATCCTGTCAGGATTGGACTCCTATCCATTCATGAGAAAATTCAACAACCAGAGTGAAGTGCAGGGTCTGCCTTTGCACTCCCATGACTTTGATCTTGTTCTCTGAACTCTCCTATCTAGCAGGTATTTGAAATGAAAAACCATCCTTTGGTCAAAGCGTGTTTGTAGGAGAATACAGGGTACAGCTCCCTGCCCCTGAAATCAGCTGTGTTAACTCGTCAAGCCATATACAAAGACTGCCCTCTAGGCATCCTCAATGCTCTTGTGTCTTTACTGTTTGATCCTGCTACCTGGCAACTCCTTTCTGTTTAAGCAAGTTCTTGCCTTATCCCTAGTGCTGAACCTCTCATGTCGCAGAGTGATGACTTTGAGACCATGTATAACTATTACGTGCGAGCTTTGACCACTCACTCAGAGTTGATTGCTCAGAGAAACGCAGGTTCTTGCAAAAGGGAATTCAAGCACTGGACTCCCCCCATGCCCCATCCCAGTCTAACAATGTGGAGTGCTGCCATTCAGTGACAGATCATTGGACATTGGAGGAAAATATTTTAGTTGGCTTTGTTGAGGGAATTTTAGCAGTTAACAGAGGAGAATGCTAGACTTAACAATAGCAATGACAAGACTTCCCGTTGTGTTGAAGATGTACTCTGTCCCAGGTGTGGTACTATGGACTTTACATTCGAGACTGAGTTTAGTTCTTAGCACTGCACTGTGATATTTAGGTATTATTTATATCCATTTTTCAAGCAAGGGAATGGAAGTTCCAAGAAGTTAGACACCATGTCTAATATGTAGCTGGCAGAGGCAGAGTCAAGATTTAAATCCAGCTATGTGTCATTCTGCCCCACAACCCTGTTCTTCTAATCCAGCCTGCAGCACAGAACACCTTATCTGGTTTCAGTGTCTTGTGACATTTGTTCTGTTTCATGTGACAGGGACCATCTTTTGTTTTTTTTTTTTTCTTTTTTTCCCCCTAACCACCTGGGGAAGGTGCATTCTTATTCTCAAGAACTCTTCTTGGCCAAAGCCAAAGGCTGGATTCCAGCCCTAGGCTCACTGAGAGCCTTCCTGCCTAGCTCTGTCTTTCATCTGGAGGGACTTGGCTTCCGCACAACTGATGATACAATGAGGAATCCCAACCTTCAGCAGAGACTGTAACGAAGGGGTCTTATCCCCTTCAGACCCTAACTAAATGTCACTTTGACAAGACAGTAAGCATAACCTATCTAGTTAATAGGAGCCTCACTTGCTCAAAAATTATAAGCCTACATAATATAGTGATGCCATTTGGGGAAACGGGATGAGGACTCGTTTTGACCTACTGAGTTTTAAGGGGCTCATAGGCCATCTGTGTGAGGAAGTCCAGCTGCCAAGTGCAGACACAGACCAGAGATTGGAAGGCATCAAACTTTCAGAGAATTTGAGGAATAATTTGCACAGAAAGTCTAACTGGAAATGTAAGAATGAGTGAGGTCATTGGAGTATATGTGACGAGGACTAAGGATAGATTTTACATAGTTAGGGTCTAGAAAGGAAAATAGAAGCAACCAAAGGAGATAGAGAAGCAGCAATTAGGTAGGGGAGGATGGTAGACTTTCAAAGAGAAGACAGACTATTGGAAGGAGGGCGTGAGCCAAAATTACCAGCTGCACCATAAAGATGAGGAGGATGAGGACTGAGAAAAGGGGTCCTTGGTGAAACATAAGGGGGTAGTCTTTGGCACAGGAATGGGAGAGCGTGATTTGTTTTTTGGGAATACCACGGGATCCAGGTCTGGTTGGAAGAAAGTGTTCATTTTGAGCAGTAGAAAGGAAGTAATTTGGGCCAACAGGTTTGTATTCTAGGCAGCGGGGAGCCATTTTGTCAGTCTCTTGCTCAAAAATTTATCCAGGCAGTGACTGATACTATAGGTATATTAACCTGTGGTGTAAAGCATGGCTAGGCAGTGTGGAGAGGAGGAGCTTACTGCTGCCTTTCTGGGGACAGGTAAGAAGAACCCTGGCAGCATGTTTTAATTTTTGTCCGAAGTGCCCAAGCATCTTGGTAATCTCTCACTGAGCTGTCATCCATCTCTTTTCTCAGGCTAGGCTGCCCCCACTGCCACACAGGTGGGCTGCTTGTGCCCCTGTGGGCTCCCTCATTCTGGAAGACTCTCTTGACCCAGTATTCCCTCTTTGGGGACCTCAGATCACACCTGATTTTAACGGGCCCTGTTCAAGGCTGTCTTGGTAAAACAAAACCGTATTTGTGGATGGTAGTTACTAGACAAGTGGTCAGAATGGGCCCATAGTATACTTACACTCAGGGGCTAAGTGTGGTTCCTCCATCCACCATCAGTGTAATTGTGCTCCAGTGACACCATATGCCCTCCCTAGTGAACTGGACGTGTCGTGTCTGCCTCTTCCATGCCATAACTTCGATTCCTAACCAGCCTAACCATTAACTTCTCTGCCTGTCTCCAGTTGAAGTCAAACCTGGTTTCCATTTTTGGATATTATCTTGAAGGATGGCTTAGTGCTGGTGTTCAGGTAAGGTAATTTCTGGCTAGTCCTGGCGGACTCCTCCATCTTTCGCCTCCTGTCCAGGTCAGTCCTGCTGTAGTCACTGAATGAAGAAGGCGGTTACTTGCCAAATCCTCAAATTCTGACCTGAGTTTCAGGTCTTCGCTAACTTTGCAGATTCCCTTCCCCCTTTCTATGTATCCTTGACTCTGGTCCTGTCCTTTATCCTTGGGGTAGGAGTAGAGGGAGGAAGGCCCTTCTCTCTAAGCTTCTGGGCTTCAGATGATCTTATATTAGCCTGCACTCTTCTTTACCCTTCCTAAGAATTCCAGCTGTCAGGGGGCCTGTTCTCTTCCCTTTGTCCTCCCTGTCCTGTCACATAGTCCCCAGCCAGTTGCAAATCCTAGCATTTCGGAGGAGAGATCTGCCTCTCGGCCTCTTAGTGTCTTTTAGGACCATCCGTGGGGTTCCTTCAGCAGGGCATGTGGGTATTGGTACTAGGGGAATAGCGGGAAGAGGGATAAACTGGCAAAAAGGGGGATGGCAGAGATGGGAAATGCTGGAATGGGTGGGTGAATCAGAACAGCAGACTGGGAGTTATGGGGATGGTAGCAGATGAATGGGAGATGAATGGAAATTGACCTTTTCCTTCATCTGACCATCTTTGTAATTCTCACTATGAGCCTGTCCATGACCCTAAACCAATTGCCCCCTTCTGGTCTGTAGGATGTGTCCAGTTTCCAGCAGGTTGAAAGACTTGAGAATGGCCGGGGGAAATGTCCTTTTGAGCCAGCTCAGCGGTCAGCAGCTGTAATGGCTGGTGAGTGGGGAGAGCCCAGAACCTGTGGCTCCTTGCCGTAATTGCCTCCTTCCCCACCCCTGCTGTTGAGATTTCTGTGTCTTTCTTTCCTTTCCTTGCAATGTCTATTAGTCCCCTGTCTCTTTCTGGCCTTTCCTGTTCTTCCCATAGTGCCTGTGCCCTCCTGCTTTTCCCCAGATTCTTCCCCTGGGTTTTCTCTAGAGTATGTATTCTCTGCACCTCTAGTGTGAGTGTTAACCTCATTTTCTTTCCTCATAATGCTCTCCCTCCCACCCCCATTTATATGAGGAATCTACTACAATGCATATTAAAATACATTTAGAAAAAGTATGGAGAAGAACCTAAGAAATCTTATAGAATAGCACTGTCCAAAAGCACTTTGTGGGACAATAGAAATGTTCTACATCTGTGCTGTCTAAAATGGTAGCCATGAGCTACACGTGGCTCTAGAGCCCTTGGACAATGTAAATAGTTTGATGGGAGGAAGGAATTTGAGTGTCTGGTATCTACCAGCTTTGCACAGTTCCAGGGTATCAGAAAACCACTGCCAACAGTGTGGGATATTTTTTTCTAGCTTTTTAAATAAATGTGTGTGTGTCCTTGCATCTGCACTTGTGCATATAAATTTTGCTGGCCAATCCTTTGTTGCTCAAAGGAATCAGTAATCGGTAATGACTATTAAACAAATTCCTGCTCTTACTTCCTTTGACCAAGCTGTATACAGTTCAAGTGTGCAATGATTCAATCACAGTTGGGCCCTAAATCTTTTCTAGAGAATGCGTAATCTTGCAGCAACCACAAAGTGAATTGTTTGTGTGGCACGTAGCCTATCTTTTAGGTCAGACTACCCCCACATACACCCTTCAAATTCAGTGAGAGTCTAGCCATTTTCTCACAACAGTGTAAAACAAACAGGTAAATAGAAATTTTATGAGTGTGTGTATATTGTAAAACTTTTAAATGTCATGCCACATGGATTTAATTTTGAATTTTGTCATGAAACTTTGTATCATGGGCATTTTTATGCAATTAAAAAATTTTTTTTAAAGATTTTATTTATTTGAGAGAGAGGATGAGCAGTGGGGAGGGTTAGGGAAGGAGGGAGGTAAAGGGGGAGAGAGAAGAGAGTCCCCGTTGAGCAGGGAGCCAATGTGGGGCTCGATTCCAGGACCCTGAGATCATGACCTGAGCCAAGCCAAAGACAGATGCTTAACCGACTGAGCCAACCAGGCACGCACAATTTAACAATTTTTTTGTGAAGAAAAATTTTAATAATATGATGCTACCCTTCCTGTGAGCATTCCATAATTTAATTAAGCAGTCCCAAGTCACTTATGTAAGTTTATTTGATTTCCAGGTTTATTTAGTTTACCTCAAAGTTTTTGCTAATACCCATAACACTGTAATGAACATTTTTGTGCATAAGTTTTTGTCCTCATTTTAGATTATCTCAAGATTCCCGGAAATGGATTACTCTATCAAAGGGTGTGAACATTTTATGGCTCATTATTTGTTGCTAATTGAGTTTTTAGAAAGAGTGTACCAATTTACACCCTAAATCAGCGGGAATGAGAGTGTTTTGTTTTTTTCTCACATAAATTTCACTAGAATACTATTGTTGTCACTTTGAAAAATCTTTACTAATTTGAGGCTAAAAAAATGGCACCTTGTTTTAATTTGTATTTCTTTGAATGTTAGGAAAGTTAATATTAGGAAGTTTTCATATTTTAGTACTTATTTTTATTTCTTCTTTGGTAAGTCCATATATATATGCACACCTGTATATAGATCCAAATATATATTCTTGGATTTCATAAATCCAAGAATACTCTTATTCTTGGGCCAATTATCAGATGGGATATGTGTTCTGATCTATATCTCTTCCTTCGTGGTTACGTTTGTCTTTAAGCTAAACCCTTCTTCAGTTAGAGAGCAGATAAAAGTTTTTCTTCTTACAAATTTTTCCCCCAAATGTTTAACTCTTTGATCTGTTTGGAACCTACTTTGATGAATGGCATGAGATGAAGATCTAAATTTATTTTTCCCAATTAGCTAATCAGTTGACTCAGCAGCATTCGTTGTACTACTTTTTCTTTCTTTACTGACTTTTGCTGTTCATTATTGTAAAATTGATTTTTACCCATTCTTTTGGGCTACATTTTATGAAAAACAAAAATTGAGACACAAGATCTAACAGTGAAATTTTTTTCCTCCTTGTGGCTTTATAGAAAAAGTCTTAAAAACTAGCTATACAAATTACTTAGTCCTACAGTTAATGATTTCCCTTTTTGGAAAGTAATAAAATAACAAAAAGTTTTTGGAAATGAACATAACCTCTCAATCTGATAAATACAAGATTTGTCATTTTTATCATTCATCTGCAGTTGAAATTGATGAAACCTTGTTTATAGTCATACACGTTTGCATAGAAACAGTTTAGTTAGTAGTTTTCTTGGCTTTTTATCTAGCATCTTTGGCAAAACTCTGAGCCAGTGATTGGGTCATTAAGAAAGATTTATCAGTTTTATCGGTTGTCTCTTGATTTTACATAAATTTTTTATCAACAAAATGGCTTCTTAATTACAAACTCTAAGGTAATCAATTAACATACTTTCTTTATTTCAAGAAGTCATATTTATACTCTGTCTTCTGCACGTAATCTCTGTGTTCCAGTCAGCAGGTGAATTCATATTAGCATGTGGTTTAAGAACACAACTTTCATAAATAAGATCATTGTATGACAAAAGAACATTTTCAAAAAGGAAAGACATTTTTCAAAAGGGTTTTTTTTTTTTTAAGGATTTTATTTATTTATTTGACACAGAGAGAGAGATCACAAGTAGGCAGAGAGGTAGATGGAGAGAGAGAGGAAGCAAGCTCCCCGCCAAGCAGAGAGCCTGATGCGGGGCTCGATCCCAGGACCCTGAGACCATGACCTGAGCCGAAGGCAGAAGCTTAACCCACTGAGCTACCCAGGCGCCCCTCAAAAGGGTTTTAAATCTTTTTTTTTTTTTCAGGTTGCCTTTCATCTGATAACTGATGGAAATGATCAGAAGTCACTTTCTAACTATTTAGAATGGCTAGTTTCTCCATGTCTCTTTCTGTCTTCGATCCAAATCACAGTCAATACCAATATTATACATTTTCCTCTGAAGTTGGTACTTCATAGGGCTATAATTTAAATTTCTTTAAACTTGACCCAAGGACCAGTATTCAGTTGGAGCTTTCAGTGTTGATCTGTTATATCCTGCTGCCCCTTTGTTTTGAAAATAGCAGTATAGATAGTAGTGACAACATTATGTAAGAACTAGAACTTAAATTCCCAGTTAGGATTTATAAAAGTGTCCTTGAGGATAATAGAGGTATTTTGAATAGAAAGAAGAGCTTTTAGTAATGAAAATATTATTAGAATGCAATAGCAGAGTATTTCTTGTTTAAATTTTAAAAATTACAGTGTACATTGTGGATAATTGGGAAAATATAGAAATATATAATGAAGGAATGGAAAAGCCAATTGTAATTCAGTTATCACCAGGTAGCCACTAATACTGTTTTCAAGTATTTTCTTCTACTGTGTTTGTCCGTGTGTATATTTGTAATACATTGGCATTATCGCACATATGCCACTTAATTTTGTATACTGAACATTTTCTCATAGAATTAATTATTCAAAACATGGTTTTTAGTGATTGCATACTCTCCCATCACTTGAATTAGTACAGTCTATTCCCATATAATTATACGTTCAAAATGTAAGATAAATGATTGCTTTTATAAATATTGCTGCAGGAGAAATTTTTTTGCAGAAATGTTTATGTAAATCCCTTACACAAATCTAATTAATTGCATATGAGTCCATCCAGAAAGTAGAATTGCTGGGCCAAAGAGTGTAAAGGTTTTTATGGTACTCAGTGGATTTGGCCAAATTGCCCTCCAGTTAGTCCCACCAGCATTGACAAGAGGGCCTCTTTCATTGCACCCTTGTCAGTCCCAGGGAATACAGTTAATAAACTTACAGTTGGGCGCCTGCGTGGCTCAGTGGGTTAAGCTGCTGCCTTCGGCTTGGGTCGTGATCCCAGGGTCCTGGGATTGAGACCCGCATCAGGCTCTCTGCTCCGCGGGGAGCCTGCTTCCCTCTCGCTCTCTCTGCCTGCCTCTCTGCCTACTTGTGATCTCTGTCTGTCAAATAAATAAAATCTTTAAAAAACAAAAAACATACAGTCCATTATGACCTCCTCCAGAGCCCAATTTTATGTATTTTTGCTTGCATCTCCATTAGTGAGGTTGAACAACTTTCCATGTGTTTATTAGTACTGGCATTTATTTAGGAAAAAGCCTTAGAAATCTTGTCTTCAAATATGACATGTATTTGTACTGTGCCTAGATAAAATTAACATTTTCTCAGTGTCTCTTTTTGCACTGTTCCAGTTTAGAAAAATGCAGATAATTTGATGGTAATGTTCACATTAGCCTAAGAGCACTGGCACTTCCTTCTGTCACCTCTGCAGGGTCTTTGTCTTCCACTCATCCTTTCAAGGTTGGGGTTCCTTGGACCCCCTCTCAGGGTCCTGTTCTTTTCTCATTCTATGTGGTTGTGGTCTCAACCAGCCTCACAGATTTGTTTCCACTGCATTCTGATGCCTCCCAGACGTTATGTGGAGCTATAGACCACGTATCCAGCTGCCTTCCAGACATCTTCACGTAGTTGTCCCACAGATCTCAAAGTCAGCATGTCCCAAACCAAGCTCATCATCCTCACTCTCCTCCCCCAAACCTGCTCCACCACCAGAGTCCCCTCCTCTGAGAACATAGTGCTGCTACCTTCCCGTGTACCCCAGCTGGAGACAGCAGTCAGTTATCCTCCGTTCTCCTAGCAACATCCTGTAACAGATAAGGCTTTTATCTGTGGAGGAAGGAGTATTTGTTCTTTCTCTTCGGGACTCTGTCCTGTGTTTAATCATCTGTTTGCTCTCCTGGTATCTTGCGATGACTGCATCTGCTAAGAAGCACTGCACATGTTCCCGATATACTGCGTGCTGCCAGCATTTTGGGGTCAGACCTACCTCTTTTTTTCTTTTTTTTTTTAAAGATTCTATTTATTTATTTGACAGAGAAATCACAAGTAGGCAGAGAGGCAGGCAGAGTGAGAGGGGGGAAGCAGGCTCGCCGCTGAGCAGAGAGCCCGATGTGGGATCATGACCTGAGCTGAAGGCAAGAGGCTTTAACCCACTGAGCCACCCAGGTGCCCCTTAGACCTACCTCTTAAATCCAGGTGTGTTTGCTCCAAGACTAGCATTCACACACTGAAACAAGACAGAAATACTGTGTGAACAGCAAAGGAAAAGGTAGAATAAACGCCGCATCTCCAACTAGCTAATTATGTCCTCATCGTAGGCTGTTCTATAAAAAAAAAAAAGTATCCAGCTGGCCTCATCCTTGGATAAGGAAATGGAGACTATTAGGCTAGGAGCTAGCTATCTTGGAAAGCTTTGACTGTGTGAAGAAAAGGGAGTGGACGAAGGAAGGCCAGGGTGGGTTTAAAATCCTTTATTTTTTTAAAGCTAATGAATGATTAATCCTATTAATTACATCTTCTTTAGAAGTGACTGTTTTGGTAGCAGAGTGAAAAATTGAAACCCCAGGTGCAGGGAAGTGCTCACTGCCGTGAAGTGTGTGAGGCTGTCAGTGTTGTTGCTAACACATGTGGGGAGCCTCCGTCTCCTTAGGTGAGGAGAGCTCTATTCCCACTTTTAATTGTGATGTTTCTTTGGTTGTGATTCATCTTTTGTGGCTTTCAATCTTTTTTTTTTCCCCCTTGGTATTTCCAAAATGAAATATATCTTAATTTGGAGGGATATAAAAGTGAAAGATGGTAACTGCAACAAACATTCAGTGGGTACAAAAATGTAGAAAGGAGCATATAATAATCATTGTAATTCCATTAATCAGAAATGTGTTATTAACACTGTAGAGCTGTTGCTCCTTCCCGTCTTTCCTATGTCTGCAGACGTATACATGTCTTTTAAAAGTATAGGGTTATATCATACCTGATGTATTTTTTTTTTTTCTAACCAGCTTGTTCACTGAATACAGCACTGTGGGTATCATTCTCTTTTGCCAATAGCAAATGTGTGTTTTAATGTTTACTGAATCGATTCATTCAGTACTAACCTGCCAACGATTGCACATACAGGGATATTTTGTTATATGAGCAATGCAACATAATATTTGAGATTGAGACTGTTCTGGAGAATCTAGGACATGTGGTGATGCTGTGTCCTCCTGAAACTGTGACTGTGATGGCTGCTGCTCCTTTTCCTTGGGCCCTGTGTGTGTGCATGTTTTATAAACCCCTTGGTACTCCTGGACTACCTGGAACCCTGCTGCTTCCCCCCAGAGTGTCTGACCCCTCCTGCTGTCCCTTAGTGTCAGTGACCTTCTGCTCTTTCTCTCCAAGTGAGTGTGCTCTTTGGCAAATCTGGGCTCCGGAGTTCCTGACTGACCCCGTTGATCCCTTAGAAACTTTTGGGACCTTTTACCTCCACCCGCTTTTGGGTCCTGACAAAATATTTGTTTGTAGCCACCCCCCACCACCTCCCTGCACCAAGTCATGCTCCTAAATATTCGTGACTGTCTCCTCCACAGATCTCTCTCCATTCTCAGGTGTCCATGACACAGCTTCAGTGGCAGTTCTGATTGTAGAGTGTTTTGTGTATAATTCTTGTAGGGAGATTTTTCATCCTAACTCTGGCTTCCGGATCAGTTTGTGTTTTTTTTTAAGATTTTATTTATTTATTTGGCAGACAGAGATCACAAGTAGGTAGAGAGACAGGCAGAGAGAGGAAGGGAAGCAGCCTCCCTGCTGAGCAAAGAGCCTGATGCTCAGCTCGATCCCAGGACCCTGAGACCATGACCTGAGCCGAAGGCAGAGGCTTTAACCCACTGAGCTACCCAGGCGCCCCCGGATCTGTTTTCCACCCGCCTTGGAAGTACAGATGGTTGCCTTATTCCCTGTTCCGCGTGCTGCCAGACCATGCCCTCAACCTGGTTTTGTCCTTCCTGAAGTACTCTGGGAGGGAATGGGGTGCTATTTTATAGCCCCCCTTCTGGCAACAACTCAAGCATGTGGTCCCTGAGGTTTCACAAAGAGCGTCAACTCACCTGCACTGAATGGCGGCCATGTGCCAGGCCCTACGTGGGCTCTACGTTTGGATCGCATTTAACCCTCAGCAGGGCTCCGAGTGGAGGGTGGTATTATCTCCCTTCTAGGTTGGAGGTTCCTGAAGCTTATTTGCCAAGATCATACTGCTTGTATGTATTCAGGGTCCAAAGCCAGGCCTTCCGAGCTCTAGAACACTTGGATTCTTTTCACCATCTCCAGGGATAGAATAGTCTCCCCTCCCTACCCTCTAACCCTCTGCTGCTGCCCTCAGAGGCTTTCTGACCCTTTTTTGCTTTGTAGGAAGTATCTTTTAAAATAGTGGTTATTTTTCCAGCACCTGAAACAAGCAAGTTTGCTCAGGCCTCTGTGACCCCAGGATGCTGGTGCTTCCCCCAGAGTGGCCCTGCTCTACCCCTTCCTTCCAGGCTCATGAGTCCGCACAGCCTGCGCTGGGCCTTCCCTGCACCCCTTGCAGCACACCAGTCTCTCTTGCTTCCCTAGCCTCCCGGACTTGATTTTCCATGTTGTCTTCTGTAGCCTCTCCCCTGAAATGGTGGTATCCCCAGGGGCCTTTTTCTCATTTCCTCTTTCTCCCTGCCTGTCACGTTCATGGCCAGGCTTAAGCCTGACTCCCCAGTTGTCTGACTAGCCCTGTTGCCTGGGTTGTCTGTCTGATGGCCTTCCAGAGTCTCCAATCACATGTCCTGAAGGGACTTCAACCTCAGCACATTCCACATCTGGTATTCCCAACTACTTCCTTTATCTGGTTCTCTCCTCTCATTTCCTGGCTTTGCTCATAGTATCACCCTCTGCTGTCATCCATTTAGAAGCTGGAGATCTTAAAGACATTATTTTATTCCATTCTTTCACCTTTCATATTCAGTTGACTTTCAAATCTTTTTAATTGATTCGGCCTCAGAAATATCCCCCCAATCGAGCCCTTTTATTTTATTTACTTTTTTTTTTTTTTTTTTTAACCATTTTCTTTCCTCTGTTGCTACTTAGTTCCAGTCTCCACTCTTGCCTGGAGTGTGTGAATGGACTTAACTAGCATTATCTTCTTAAAGCCCAGAACTGGTCATGCCACTCTCTTCCTCAAGAAAATCTGCAGTTTTCCCTCTTACTTGGAAAATAAAGTCCACGTCCCGTGGCAGAGCAGCCTCTTCACAGTTGGGTGCCCACCTTTCACCTCCAGCTGCATCTCCACTCACTAGCCCAGCAGGCGCCCGGCCCCACCAGAGCTGCAGCCGCAGGGAGCACCCCACATCCCTGAACATGGCTCCTCTCTTCCCCACCTGCTTGCCTTCCTCCCTGAAGTCCAGCCCCCTAGCAAATTACTCCTTCCTCAGACCCAGCTCAGATGTCACCTCTTGGGGGCTGGTCCCCCCCTGCCAGGTTAGTGGTAGCTGGGTCCTCCTCTGTGCTCCCCCAGTGTCTCCTGGTATCTGAGCCCACGTTTGTCTTCCAGACTTGAAGGGGGGCTCTTGGAGGCAGTGTTGTGCTCAGCACATGGCACAGTGGCTCAGACATAGTGGGTGGTGAAGGAATGCCACTCTGTTCTCTCCAGAGTTCGTGGGAGACTCAGAACTCCTCCGGGGCTCATGACCTACTGCACCTGAGTTATTGTCTCCTAGTTGCATGTGAGCGCTTATCTGTGTTATAGGGTGGCTATAGGTGTCTTAGACTCCTCCCACAGAGCTGTACCTCCCCTTCCTAGTGGGGATCTGTGATTTCTGTCTTCTCCCCTGTCCCCACCATCCCGGAGCACCTATGCTCCTGCACGGTACCTCCTCGCTGCTTCCTCTGGCTGCCTGTGCAGCATTCACGAATCCCCCAGGCTGGTGTTCCTCCAAGGGAGGTCCTGAATCACCCACATGAGGGTAACTCGGGCAGCTTAAACTTAGTTCTTGGACCCTCCCCTAACTCTGCTGGGTGAGAGTTACTTGGCCTGGGGGCCAGGAACCTGTGTTTTGATCAATTCCCCAGTGGGTACAGGTACACCCTAAAGCTGTGCCTGGTTCCGGAGCAGGGTCCACCCCCAGTCAGAAAGAGCACCAGTTCCCTTAGACATGTGCCAGAGTGGGAGAGCGGAAGTCAGACCGTGCATGCTGCAAAGTGAGCCCCCTTCCTGGAGCGTCACGGTGTCATCACTACAGTACAGGATAGAGGCGGCCCAAAAACAGCCATGACAACAAACAAGCCAACAGACAGACAAAGCCTGATTCTCACCAGGGCAGCCCTTCCTCTTCCTTCCTGCACATCAGCATGCCGGCAGTTTTCCCTTAACACGGGTGGCCTTTCCCACCCTGGAGCGCTTTGTGTCTACGTTGACTGGAAATGAGATGCTGCTGTGTCTGCAACCCTTTGCTTCCCTCAGTCGTCTCTGACAACCTGTCTCCTCCCTGTCGCCCTGCAGGGGGCGTCCTCTATGCTGCCACTGTGAAAAATTACCTGGGGACAGAGCCGATTATCTCCCGGGCTGTGGGTCGCACCGAGGACTGGATTCGGACAGAGACCTTGCCCTCCTGGCTTAACGGTGGGGAGAGGTGGGGGGTGCTTGGTGGGGGACAGAGCTGGCTGAGGCTGAGTGGCCCCAGGCTGTGTCTGTGGTATCTGAGGCCACTGGTCTCCCCAGCCCCAGCCTTTGCTGCAGCCGTGGCCTTGAGCCCAGCAGAGTGGGGGGATGAAGACGGAGATGATGAGATCTACTTCTTCTTTACGGAGACTTCCCGAGCATTTGACTCATATGAGCGCATTAAGGTTCCACGGGTGGCCCGTGTGTGTGCGGTGAGACCACCGTTCCAATTGTTTGTCCTCTTCTGCTCTGCCTGTCCTGTCTTTGCCTCTGTCTTTGTGTCTGTCCCGTCTCCTTTTTTCCTCTGTCCCAACTTCTTTTCTGGGAGCTTGGGAAGTGTGGGGAAAGGCTCTGGCCTTTCACCCCTATAATTACCCTTATGACACACTGTCCCCAGGAGGTAGACTGGTGGAGAGGTCAAAGGCAGGAACTTTTGAGAATTAGTCCTGGGTTCAAGTCCCGGCTCCACCAGTTCCTGCCTCTGTGACTCTGGGCAGGTCCTTTAGCGTCTTTGAACCTCCCCTGAGAGATGAGGATAGTAATGACCTCTAGCTATAAGGGTTGTTTTGAGGATTTAATGAGGTGGCTTATGGAAAGCTTGTAGGGCGGTATTTCATAAGTGCGCAACGAACTCAGTCGCCGCCGTTGTTACTGTGACCCCATTCAACCCCAGATCTCCTTATCCCCTGCAATACTCTGTACCTCCATCCTTGCTTTTCTGTGCATCTGTCTTCCCATCTGTCTGTGTCTGCCCTGAAGACAGGGAAACCTCTGTTGGTGTCCATATGCCTCCCACAATGTTGTTCTTCTAAAGAGAACTTCCCATGCACTTGTCACCCCAGGGCGACCTTGGGGGCCGGAAGACCCTCCAGCACAGATGGACGACCTTTCTGAAGGCTGACCTACTCTGTCCAGGCCCTGAGCATGGCCGGGCCTCCAGTGTCCTGCAGGATATGGCCATTCTCCGACCTGAGCATGGATCAGAGACCCCCATCTTTTACGGCATCTTTTCCTCCCAGTGGTGAGGGGAGCCTGGTGTGGGGGATAGTTACGGGGTGGGAGATGATGGGGGATGGGTGCAGTGTCTGTGCTGTCTGCTTCAGAGGGGGTGGGCTGTCCCTGGAGCAGGCTTCATGGCTCCTTTTGCCTTTCTCATGGGTCCTCTTATTTGTCAGGGGTGAGTTGCTATTCCCTTGTTCCCTCCAAATATCTGCCTCCAACCTGTGACTCTTACAGGGAGGGGGCGGCCATCTCTGCTGTCTGTGCCTTCCAACCCCAAGACATTCGGACAGTGCTGAATGGTTCCTTCAGAGAGCTGAAACATGACTGCAACAGGGGACTGCCTGTCATGGACAACGATGTCCCCCAGCCCAGACCTGGAGAGGTGAGGGGGTAGGACGTCTCTTCACTTCACACCTGGGTGGCCACAGGAGAGAAAGGGCCCAACGAGGGATCACAGGCACTTCCTGGCCCCTGGGAAACTGTCCCTGTCCTGTGTTTCCTCTAGTGCCTCACCAACAACATGAAGCTCCAGCAGTTTGGCTCATCGCTCTCCCTGCCTGATCGTGTGCTCACCTTCATCCGGGACCACCCTCTCATGGACCGGCCAGTATTTCCAACCGATGACCATCCCCTGCTCGTCACTACGGATACAGCCTATCTCCGAGTTGTGGCGCACAGGGTGACCAGCCTCTCAGGGACAGAGTATGATGTGCTGTACCTGGGGACAGGTATGTTTAACGGCCCAGCGAGGAGCCTACCCAGGGCACACGTGCTCCTGTCACAGAGCGGGTCCTGCGCGTACAGGTGTTAGTGTCACTAGGCACAGGGGTGGTTCTGTCATTCTGTCTGGCCACCTGTCTGCTTCCTAGAGGATGGACACCTCCACCGAGCCGTGCGGATTGGAGCCCAGCTCAGCGTCCTGGAGGATCTGGCCTTATTCCCAGAGCCGCAGCCAGTTGAGAGTATGAAATTATATCAGGTGAGTTATAGATTTGGGGGAGTGTGGTGGGGGTATCTCTGAGTCCAGAGCCGGTTTGTTACCCTAAGGTCTGGGAGAGCCAGTGTCTTCTTCCTCACTCTCTTTCTGTAGAATTGGCTCCTGGTGGGCTCCCGGACTGAGGTGACACAAGTGAACACCACCAACTGTGGTCGTCTCCAGAGCTGCTCAGAATGCATTCTGGCCCAAGACCCTGCCTGTGCCTGGAGCCTCCAGCTGGATGCGTGTGTGGCCCATGCTGGCGAGCATGGCGGGTGAGTGTTGCTGCGTCGGTCTCATGCCTGTTGTCCCAAGGCACCGGCCCATCCACGTGTTTGTGTCTATGTCTCATCTGTCAGGGTACCTGGATCCTCGGTAGAGCATGCGACTCTTAATCTCAGCGTGAGGAGTTCAAGCCCCATGTTGGGCGTGGACCCTACTTCGTTTTTATTTTATTCTACTTTTTTGAGAGCGTGAGTCGGGGGCGGGGCGGATGGTTAGGTTGCGGTACAGAGGAAGAGGGACAGTGAGAATCCCAAGCAGGCTCCATGCTCAGTGCAGCGCCGATGCTGGGCTGGATGTCACAGCCCTGAGATCATGACCTGAACTGAAATCAGGAGTCAAATGCATAACTGACTGAGCCACCCAAGCATCCCCAAGTGGAGCTACTTAAAAAAAATTTCTCATCTGTTAATGCTGCCCTGTGTGTGTGTGTGTGTGTGTGTGTGTGTGCGTGAGATTCTGTTTGTGTCACTTGTGTGTCCCATCTGTCAGTCCATACTGACTGTCTGGTGCTGCCTCATCCGTGTCCTTGCCTCTCTGCTGGACCGGCCCTGACTGTGAGACTGACCTCCAGGTTGCCACACACTTCTCAGTTTTCACTTTACAAGAGCTCTCAGAAGTGTTTGCACTCTTGACTGCTCCCTCTGAACTTACTTGCGATCCTCTTGCCTTCTGTGACCCTGCGTAATCCCGGATTTCCTCCCTCCCCCCATCAGTCTATCTCCCTTACTGATTCCTTTTCCATCCCACTTCCGAATGTTGGTATTCCTTGGGGTTCAGTCCTTCTCCTTACACTTCCACACACCCTTGAAGTGGTCACATTCCCATTATCTTCAATGCCGAGTGCTGCTGACCACCACTGATGTGTCTTTAGTTGACCTGTGGGATTCCCTGCCTCGTGGTCTACCTGATAGTCCCTTGGGAGGCTTCACAGCAACTCAAGCTTATCGAGTCTCAGCACGCACTGTTGTTTCCTCTTTCCTTCATGTGCCCTACCTGTGATTTTCATCATTGTAAGAAAGGGACCTCCATCCAAGCCAGAATTGCCCTTGCTGTCATGCAGTTTGTACTGACTCTAGCTCCATCTGTCATATCCTCAGTCCACAGCCATTCCCCTCCTTCTCTGCCACTATCACCCTAGTCCAAGCCATCATCACTTCTTGACCGGATTATTCTGGCAATCTCTTCACTGGTCTCCTTTGACCATTGGGGCATCTGACCATCTCTTTTCCCCTCAGCAGCTAGCTTAAAATTGTATGTCACATTGAAGCAAATCCCTGGCATTATACCCATCAGAAATATTTTAGTATATATCTCTCTCAGGTCAGGACTCTCTCTCATTTTTTTCTTTTTAAAATTTTAAAAATATTTTATTTATTATTTGAGAGAGAGTGAGCATGAGTGGAGGGAGGGTAGAAGGACAAGCAGACTCCCCAGTGAGCATGGAGCCCACCATGGGCTCCACTCCAGGACCCTGGCGTCATGACCTGAGCTGAAGTCAGCCCTTAACCGACTGAGCCGCCCAGGTGTGCCCACTGCCCCCAACAAGAACTCTGTTAAAAAATTTTTTTTATTATAAGGGATTTCAAACATTCAAAAGTCAAATAATACCATGAATTCCTATCATCTGTTGCTCAACTTCACACTATCAACTCCTGACCTTGCTTCACCAATACCTCACTCACTCCCTGTTGTTTTATAGCAAATCTTGAACATCTTATCACTTATCCATAAATCTGGCAGCATACATATTTAACACAGATGGAATTAAAAATGAAACCGTATTATCATTATTATCCCATAAATTTAATGTCATGAGACATCCAGTCAGTGTTCCAATTTTCCAGTTTTCTCAAAGCCAGCGTATACTTTAAGATAGTTGCTGAAGTTAGGATCCAGACAATGTCCATCAATTGAAATTGGTGTTTTTCTTAAGTCTTTGACATTTTTGATGATATTCCCTTTGATGAAACATTTTTAATTGATTGCTTAGAAAGTATTTTTTTTCAAACTGACTTTGATATTTCTTATTTTGAAGCCCAGTTCATTTACAGTATATTTGTACATATTACTGAACCACAAGGCTACCAAAATTTTAGAAGTAAAGACTTTTTTTGGGAATCAGTTTTTCATTAAGAACTTTGATCTAGTAGTTTCTTTTGGGAGAACTTCTAAATGCTATGACAAGGCAAGTGCTTTATTGTTTTAATACCTATTAAAATAAGAATTTTGTTGTTTTTGGATATCCTGTGTACTCAGGGTCCCCTTAAGATATATGTGTTTGGGGGGTGTGAGGTATGTCTATATGCTAGTTTATTTCTTGGTAATACAAGAAATTACCAAGTTGGTACTTCTTTTTTTTTTAATTCATTTTTTAAAAATTTATGTGAGAGAGAGAGTGCATGTAAGGGGTGAGGGGCAAAGGGAGAGGAAGAAGGAGAGAAGCAGATGCCCTGTTGAGCGCAGAGTCTGAGGTGAGGTGGGTGGGGCTCCATCCTAGGAGCCTGAGACCATGACCTGAACCAGTATCAAGAGGCAGACACCCAACTGACTGAGCAACCCAGGCATCCCACCGAGTTGGTACTTCTATGATCTCTATCCTCCACACCTCAATTCATACAAGTGAGAAAAAGAAACTATGGAGTTCCCGTGGCTATAGCTGCACATATGGCCTTCCCATGTTCCTAGCTCTCAGCCAAACTAAGTGACCTTGGTTTTACCCAGAAGACTGTAATGTATTTATACCAGTCTTGGAGCTCATTTCAGGGACCTTAATTCATGTGGAAGGCATTCACACTCAAATGGAGTCTATCTTTGCTTGAGGCTTTTGTGTGTTCGGATAGAACTTGAGCTCCACTGATAGCTTGGGGAAGGTCTCCCTCTGGGGAGTGGTGACAGGGAGTTCAGAGTGGGCAGTCTGCCTTGCTGTCAGGCACAGTCCACACATATCCTGGAAGTAGCAGGATTGTGTTGTTTGAAGCAGGTGTTGGAGAGAGAAATTTCCTCCATAGAGAGGAGCAGCCTTTATGAAACAAAAAGTCATCTCCCTGACCCTCATAGAATTTTGATTAACTTTTATAGAAAAGAAATTTTCTCTCTTAATAGAAAACAGGTTAACTGTAGTTTTTATGTTTTTTTTTTTTCTTCCCCAGAGAAATCCTGTGGTTATAGATACCCAAATACATTTCATGGAACACTAGTATGCATTTTTTTTTAAAAGCGCCCTCCAAACACCTTTCCAACAGACTTACTGCAAATTTAATTCTCTGTGGTCTGCTGGAAATATGTCTAGAATTGACTTGGCAAGTGTCACAAATAGTCAAGGAGATATTGGGGGGAAATTTTACATTAAGAGAATGTTGACTGATAGTTTCGGGAGTGATTTATGAGATGATGGGAGCTGTGATTCCATTCTGTTACTGAATGTTCATTGGTACTGAGGAAATCAGAAGGGGATGCTGGCACTGGATTTACCAAGTATTCTCTTCTATACAGGCTGGTCCAAGACATAGAGTCAGCAGATGTGTCTTCTTTGTGTCCCAAAGAGCCGGGAGGTCTGTATGGTTTAGGGGAATGTGGGTGGAGTGGGTGAAGGGGGCTAGAATGCTGTCCATTTGGGACCCACTTTAAAAATTGGAAGATATGGCAGCCAGTGACTTATGGTCTTACTGTCTTTGGGCATCTCCTTTGTATCTTTGTCCCCACGGCCCCTTCTTGGGTCTGATACCATGCCATCATTTACCATGTTACAGCCCAGCCAGTAGCATTACCACCTTTCGTGTCTCTGCTCTCTCTCCGCAGAACGCCCGGTAGTGTTTGAAGTTCCTGTGGCTACAGCGGCACACGTGGTCTTGCCATGTTCCCCAAGTTCGGCATGGGCATCCTGTGTGTGGCACCAGCCTGGTGGGGTGACTGCACTTCCCCCCCGGCGGGACGGGCTGGAGGTGGTAGTAACCCCAGGCGCCCTGGGTGCTTACGCCTGCGAATGTCAGGAGGGGGGCGCGGCCCGTGTGGTGGCTGCATACAGCTTGGTGTGGGGCAGCCAGCGAGGTCCCCCAAGTCAGGCCCACACAGTGGGTGCTGGACTGGCTGGCTTTCTCCTGGGGGTTCTTGCAGCATCGCTGACTCTTCTTCTGATTGGCCGGCGTCAGCAGCGACGGCGACAGAGGGAGCTTCTGGCTAGAGACAAGGTGGGCTTGGATCTGGGGGCACCCCCGTCTGGGACCACGAGTTACAGCCAGGACCCTCCCTCGCCTTCTCCTGAAGATGAGCGGCTGCCCCTGGCCTTGGCCAAGAGGGGCAGTGGCTTTGGTGGCTTCCCTCCACCCTTCCTGCTCGATCCTTGTCCGAGCCCAGCCCACATTCGGCTTACTGGGGCTCCTCTAGCCACATGTGATGAAACGTCCATCTAGGGCAAGTGACTGCTAGTGCACGGGTGACTACTGGAGGGGGATGACCATTGAGATGCTGGGGATACTGAGCCTGGAAGATGGTCATGGGCTATGAGTCCTCTTTGGTCTTTGCATCATCACTTAGACTTCCGTGTCTACCCTCTCTGGGCCTGGCTGGGCTCGGGGCCAGGCCTGTGCTTGATCTCCTGATTCTCATGAGAGATCAGAGCTGCTGTCTCCCGTGAATCAGGACTTTTCCCACTTCTGCCCTCTGATCCGCTGCAGCTCCTTGGGCCTTGGCTCCCTATCTCGGCCCGTTACCTCAAGGTTGGGGAATGGGCCGTAGCTTTGACTTTGCCTTCTGGTGGGTCCTGGCCAGAAGGAAGAGTGCTAGAGGCGGTGGGGGCTAGTGTGCATTAAGTTCTTTTGTTCATTCTCTTAGTTTATGGGATTCTCTGTGGGGAGTGCATGATCCCCATGTTGCAAGATGAAATCTCTGCCCTGAGATGTCCCCCAACCCAGTTGTCCCTCCGTGAAAGTGAGTGTCAGTATGCAGGTGTTTGTGGAAGGCCTGGCCACACGTGCATGCAGGACTGGGCTGGTGCTCAGGTGTACCCCTGGGGGTCAGACCCAGTGCTCAGGTATATCCCGGGGGGTCAGATGGGGGAAGGTGGGAATGAGGCATTGCTTGCAGAACTTCAGACCCTGTAGCCAGTGAAGGAATGGCTTTCCTTTCTAAAAAGAAACAAACCACCACCCGGGCCCCATCACCTATAACCCTTCTCTTGAGTAGAGGAAAAACTCCCAAAGTGACCTTTTGGGCGGGAGGGACAGCGGTACGCGTGACCCAATCATTCTCTTTGTTTTTGCCTCCCGGCTGCCACCACTGCCACACACAGCTGTTCTTTCTCTTTGGCTCCCGTTAAAAAGACTTCACAACCTTCTAAGTATTAAGGGACAACAAAAGGGGAACAGTCATAGGAAATTCAAGTTGCATAAAAATAGGTTTGTATCAGTGACTTTACTCAGGTTGACACCCTTGCCCTAAGTCAGAAGTTCTCCACCTGGGGTCCATGGACTCCCTGAAATCGTATGCAAAATGTTGTCGGTACATGTGAGTCTGTATTTTTATGGGGGATGGGGTGGGTGGGTATGGTTTTCATCAGTTTCTCAAGGCCTTAACCAAGTTAAAGGACTATGCCTCGAGGTCGCCACCCAGTGGTCAAGATGAGGGAGTGCCAGTCAGCGGCAGTTCTTCCAGCCCTACCATCCCGTTCCCTGTGGTCAGCCCTGGGACTCGCAGCTGCTGGATGCCCTCTTGTTTCTCCGGGTCTTGGAAGCTGGGCTCTGCGTGTATTTGAAGATACTATCAACTCCTACCAAACATAAAGACCTCTTCCTGCTTCACAGCTCCCAGATGCTCTAGGCTTCTCCCGCTCAGTTCTGGTCTATGACCCGTGTATGTGCCTCGTTCATCCCTGGTGAGGGACCCCCCCTGAGCTCCAGTGAATGATCCAACCCCTCCCAGTTGAAGTTTTTGGCTCTACTCTCCTTGGCAGCAACCTGTGAACTATTCAAAAGAGTCCCCTTGGGTTTGGAATTACCAGCGGCTTTGCCACTAACACGTGTATGATTTTCAGCAAGTGATCTAATGTAGGAACACTGGTTTGTTCAGCTGTAAAGTGGGGATAGTAATACCTACCTCGGGGTTGCTGCAAGGACTGAATGGGAAGACATGTAAACAATAAAGCAGTGTCTACACCAGTAGATGTTGTTATTGCAAGCATTGACCTCTGATGCCATAATCCTCTAGCTGAACCGTGTGATAACCGTGACACCTGAGTCAACCTAAGCCCCATTTTACGGGAGGAGAATCGTGGCCTCACACAGACTTCCTGTCCCAGGTCATCTCTGGCCAGGTCTTAGCTGCTGATGTCCAGGTTTTGGGAGGATGGGCCTGTGGTTTTTATGATCCTCAGATGTGCGTGAGCTTAGTGACCTTCCTAGTCCTCTATGGGACTGGTCTTGTGTTCTTGTGTTTATCCTCACTTTGTTCTCTTAAGGTGATGGATTTGTTCCATTCTGGGGAAGGAAGAGAGGTGAGGAGATGTCAGAGGGGCCCGGGGTCTCTCTGAGGAGGAAAGGGACCAGATGACAGTGGATTTGGGGCATTTGGTCCTTGGACAGGACTCTGGTTGGAGGAAAATGAGATGAGTAATGTAGGAAAAAATGAAGAGGGAAATAGGCATAAAGGGAAAAGAGCCAGCTCTCGGTTAGTGTGAAGTGCAGTTCCCCAAACATGAGGGATCGCACAGAAACGTAAAGCCAACCGCCACAGAGATAGTGTGAGTAATGGCTGCATAACTTCTACCTGTGACGGTGTGTGAGGAGGAGAGGATCTGTCTGTGGGGAAGGGAGCTAAAGGTGGGTGTAGGCTTTCTGCAGGGAGAGTTGTGAGGATTCTGGCAGCCAGAGACCTGCCTGGCTTCACACAGTAGAGCAGCTGCAGGGAGGGGGCGGGTTGGGCCTTGTGTTAGTGTTTAGCCCCAGACTCCAAAGATGGCACACTTTCTGGCCCTCACTCTTAAATTCTCCTTTGTTTTTGGCTCTGGCCCCTGATCCATAGATTGTGACTCTCCGCTTGCCCCTAACCAGTGGTCTGCTGCTAACCACACCGCCCTACTGGAAGAGCCAGAGAGGGATGCTGGCTACTGACTCTTACCAGTCAGGTGAGCTCCAGCACTGGCCTAACCTAGCAGGAGGCTGACTCACTTCCTTTCTCAGGCACCATCCCTCTCTCCAGCAGTCCCGAAAGTTCACTGGTGGCTGAGTGATGGCAGGAAAGGGATGCTTTCCATTTCTGCTGGGTCCTGAGCCTCCTGGCTACTATGTCCCTGTCAGAGGGGGACAGTCATGGCCACCACTGGCAGTTCTCGGTCATCTCTGCACAGATCGCATCTCCAGGGTCTGGTTGTAGCAGAGGCAAGGCTCAAATTTTTAAAAATCACCTTTGCCAACTGAGAACGGGGAAGCCAATGGAGAAGCTGGCAATAGAAATAACAAGATGCGGTTCTGCAGTTGTTTCTAAATGCAGACACTTGGTGAGGTCTAGGGACAGGCCTCTCTGTGACACGGCATTTTGTGTGGCCAGCAGATAGCACGTGTGGTTCTAGAGTGGCCCATCTGGATTGATGCAAAACACCAGGTCCTGGTTGGGGGAGGGAAGGGCAAGCCACAGAGTAATCTAGCTCCCCCAGGATGTTAGGTGAGGCCAGGTGTGGTCGGAGGGTGCAGACAAGAGATCAGCTTCAGGGGGCTACTCCAGGCTCTGTGGAGAAATTAGTGCAAGCCACGAACTCTCGACCTCTCTCTTTTTCAAGGACTCCCAGCCACGGGACTCAGGTTTTCCCTAGACAGGCTGCGCCTGGGGCTTAGGGCTACAGGTGAATCCCGGACCTGCCTGCCGGTGGATGTGGTAACCCTCGTTTATGTCAGAGTCGGCGCTCCTCTTGTGGACTCGGAGGCTTGGCGGACACAGGCTGAGGGCTTTCATTACCTGCAGCTGGAGTCACAGTTGGAGCAGGAGGAATCAGCAACTGGTACGGGCCCCAAAGACCCACATACTGCCCTCAAGTTCAGGCAAGGACTTTGGAGTTGAGGAGGCTGGGAATAAAATCCTGCCAGGGCTGGGTTCACTCCGGGGACTCCCTGACAGTTAAGAATTGAGGAAGCTGATTAGACCTGTGTGGTAGAGGCTTCAGCAGAGAACTTGGGAGGAAAGCCCAGGCCTGGGACCTTGGGAGGTGCACTTCCTGTCAGCTAAGGGCTTCCAGTTGGTCTCAGATGGATTCGCTGGAACTCTCCCCTGCAAGCCCGAGAATGCCGAGACTGGGCACCCATTGCCAGCACTCTCCTTTCAAGACACGTCATTGTGTGTGATAGGTGAGTTCCTGTTCCTTTCCCTAGAAGAAGTGAGGAGGCAGGAGTGGCCCTTCCCTGAGGTGAGGGTGGGGATGGCTGTTTTATTCTTTTAGTGATTTAGACCTGCCCCCTGTTTCCATGCAGCTTCTCCACAAGCTCTGGGGGCGATCAAATGTATGGATGTTGGAGGCAGTCACGACCTTGAGGTTATGCGCAAGTGTCCCCATATTTAGTGTAGAAGGATGGAGCCGCCTACCTTTTGTCTCTCTCAGCTCAATGAACTTCTCATCACTGATCATAGGAACCAGAGACTCTCCTGGCCTTCACCGGGAGCCACACTAAGTTCCCTGAATTCATGTTCAGTTCTAGAGAGAAGGATGGCCACCCCTAAGACGGCTGAAATAGAATGTTTTCCCCCAAAAGAGACTTGGGGCTGAGAACCAGTTAATATGATTTATGGAAATAAGTAATCTTTTTTGTACCTGTGGGTTTGTGGAGACAAATTCAAGCCCACTGTAACTAATAGTGTTTCTAAAATTGGCAGAGAACAGAGTGCGGCATTATGAACTGGCCTGTAGAGGGGGAGAGAGCAGAAGGGCCCGGAGCGGGGCGGGTGGAGCTGAGTGAGCACTGAAGGGGTCTGAAGTGAAGAAGAAGGACCTTCCTCTATCCCTTTGCAAGAGCCATTCGCCCTAACCTAGTTTCTCCTCACAGATATCCACCAAATCAATCTTTTGTCAGACTCAAAACCCATCACCCCCCAGTGTACTAGATTTAGGTAATTTGTGGTTTTGTCATAATACTATAGCTCATCTTAAGTTGTGATCACCTTGCACTTCCCGGGTAAATGTCCTCAAAAAAAAGGCACACGAACCTATGGGGTCCAGGCTCAGAAACCAAGATGTCCACATGCTACTTCTACAAAGGTTTATGACAAACTGCCATTGGGTGCTTTGCTAGAGAAGTTCGTATTCTTTGGGGGCATTTACTGCTGTTCTAGTCAGGACAGGCTTTGTTACGATGCAATAACAACTGAATACTCTCAGTGGCTTAAAACAGCATGTTTCTTTCTTACAGTACATTAAGGAGCTTCTAGCACATCCTACAGCATGGATAGACGTTGAGGACATGATGAGAAGTGAAGGAAGCTAGTCATAAACAGACAAATACTGTATGACTCCACTTCTATGAGGTACTTACAGTAGTTGCAATCATAGTGACAGGAACTAGAGTGGTGGTGACCAGGGGCCGGGGGTGAGGACAATGTGGGGGATTGTTTAATGGAGAGAGTTTCAGTTTTATAAGGTGAAAAGAGTTCTGGAGATGGATGGTGCTCATGGTTAAGGACAATATGAATGTCCTTAGTACCATATAAAGGTGGTTAAGATGGTAAGTTTTATGTTATGTGGATTTTACCACAATAAAAAAAAATGGACATGAAAGTGAGGAAGACACAGTCCCTGTCCCTTTGAAGCTCCTAATTCAGTGGGGAGGCAGACAAGAGAGGAGGTAACAACACACTTTGAAAAACACTGCTGTCAAAATGCGTTCCAAATATGGAGGAACCCCAAGACGCCCCTTTCTGTATACATCTCTTCTTAACTGGTAGCCGACAAACAGACTTGAGACACCACCAGAAGGCTCTGTGCCCCCTAACTGGACTGCCTCGGAGCTACGGACACAATCCAACACAGCAGAGTCCAGTGAGATCCATATGCCACAGCTGGTCCTTGTCAGGTGTCCAATTTTTCACAACAGAAATATAAAAACAAGATGTGCCTCAGTCTACAAAACTTGCTAAGATTAAGAAAAAAAAAAGATGGATGATACTTTGTGACTTTGTGCTGATGAGGGTTTGGGAGTGGGCAAGGGAGTATTCTGTCCTAGCCTATTGAAAGTGAAATTAGTTCATGCTCTGTGGAAGGCATTCTGGTGAGATTTTACTAAGAACCTTAAAATGTATACATCGCTTGACCCAGTAATTACACATCTAAAAATTTATTTTAAGGAAATAACAGTATACTGTGTGCCAAGATACATTTCTGAAGGATTTCATTTTAGTATTGTATGCCTAAAATAACTGAAAACATCTATTTAACAAGAGAAATTTGGTTATATAAGACTCAATCTTGACTTGGAAGAAATGTCCACAAGGTGTTAGGTGAAGAAAAGAGACAACCCTGAGAGGGAAGAGAGCAGCCCTAACAGCTGGGAGCTGGCCTGGCAGCACCATGAGGCTCTGGAGTTCTGTGTCACAGCACAGAGAGAGCAGATAAGGCCACGCTGTGACGTCACGGAGCAGATAAAAACAAGACCGCTCGTAGTCATGTCTGCACACAGACTACACAGGAGCCTCGTCCAAAGCACAAACACACCCAGCATCCACCTGTCCTGGCTGATGGTCGGGACTGCTGTTCCTTTACCAGTTCTTTGCCAGCTTCAGCCTCACCCTGGTTGTCCCTCCTGGGTGACATTAATTAAGGTAGCCATCATAGAATTACCCTGCTTCCTGGCAACGTCCAATCCAGAGCAGAGCCCAGCTTCCTTAAACCCTCCTGCAAATCACCTCGCTCCATCCCAAGGGCTATAAATCCTAACAGCCTCTTACCAGAAGGGCCCACAATTCCCATGGTGTGTGTTCTCCCTTACTGCAGACTGAGAAGCTCAAGTGCAGGCTAGTTCCTGGTGGTCTTGGGTTTGAAGGACAGCCAGTAGAGCCCATTTGGTTTGTGGTAGATATGTATCTCCACTGTCATAAAAATGTGCGTAACAATACACACCAAGCTGTTAGCAATGGTTATCTCTGATGAGGAATGATTTTTTTTATTTGGCTTTGTTTTTACAAT